GTATTTCAAAGTCTTCATTATCCTTACTGTTATGTTATTGCAAATATTTTGCTCTAAGACTGGTATATTTGCATGCAGTTGTGATCACTTAGATTTCTTTTTCATGTATCTTTTAAATATTTGTCTGTGTGTCATTTCCAGTGACCAAGCTCACAACCATAGATTAAAACTAACAGAAGGGATAATGTCAGAGATAGGTTGAAGCTATACTAGTTTATAATACAAAGGTGGTTCCATTTTCAATGAGTTTCAGTATAAGAAGGACCCATTCATTATCTTGTGAAAGACCCAAAGTTTTTAGTCATCCCTAGATTGCAATTAGATACTGTATATCAAATATATAAGAAAAATTCAAAAGCTTGCCACAATAACTATGTCAGCGTAGACTAAGTTATAGATTGTGATTTGGGATTACAAACAATCCTAAAACTCCAGTGGCTTCACACAATAATAGCTATTTTTTCAATCACAATTGATACCCTTTGTAGGTTGGTGGGTGGCTCTGCTATGTTTCACAAAGTCTCTCAGGGACTCAGGCTATTAAAGACTCCACCATCTTGTAACGGCACTATCTGAAAGAGACAGCTTGAGGTTCATGCACCATTTTCAAGTTCATCAAGTGACTTGATGCATCACCCCTACCTGCAGTTCTTTGGCCAGAACTAATTACATAGCCCCACCTAACTGCAAGGGGCAGGGAAATGTGGGAGAATGGAGGAATATTCGGTGAGCGCTACTTTCTCTGCCACAAGGTGTGTACCCTCCGAGATGTCTATTGTACACCCTCTTCTCTCTCCTGAAGTCTCTGACATCCTCCTTTTCCTTTTCCTTTTCTTTTCTTTTTTTTTTTTTTTTTTTTTGAGACTGGGTCTCACTCTGTCACTCAGGCCAGTGTGCAGGGGCACCATGACAGCTCACTGTAGCCACAAACTCCTGGGTTCAAGTGACTCTCCTGGCTCAGCCTTGTGACTAGCTGGGACTACGGTCATGCACCACCACACTGGCTAATTTAAAAAAAAAAAAAATTTTGTAGAGATGGGGTCTCATTCTGTTGCCCAGGCTGGTCTCGAACTCTTGGCCTCAAGCAATCCTCCCACCTCAGCCTCCCAAAGTGCTGAGATTATAGGCATGAGCCATCATGCCAGGCCTCTCCTTTTTCCTCACTCTTAATTGATATTGTGGCTTCTTATTTCACTAAGAAATTAGGAGCAATCATAAGGGAACTGCCTCCTTGTTCCTCTGTCAGGTCTATCAGTGCCTCATACCTCTACCCACTGACTCTGCTTTACTTGTTATTACAGTTGATAAATTCTCCTTGTTATTATCCATGGTCAAACCTCTACTTCCAGATTTCAACTCCTCTCATCTTTTCAACACCCCTGCTCACGCAGTTGTCCCCTTTCTATCCTGCGTCATTGATTTTATTCCTTCTACTGAGTCATCTTCATCAGCACAGAAACATAGTTTTTAAAACAAATTGCCTTGACTCTATTCCCCCTTCTGCTCTTAAAGCATAATTCCTCAAAAGAGTCTTCTGTACTTGCTTTATCTGCTTCCTCTTCTATTCTTTCTGTCTTGGACTCACTCTAGCCAGGCATTCATCCCCACTATGCCACTGAAATTGCTCTTACCAAGCTTGCTATTGTACATCATTTTGCAAAATACACCCTTCTTGAGTTCTCTTCTTGACATCCAACATGCCAGTTGCAAAGGCATCTGGGAAATGTAGTTTCAGCTTTCTAACCCCTGCAGTTCACAAAGGCAACTCCATCTAGCATAAGGGAGTCGAAATGGGTGTTGAGCAAGGCAGACCACAGCATCCTCCTTGGGCTGATCTTCTGGCTATTCTCATCCAAACACACCCTTCTCCCAGTTAAACCTCCAAATGCCTTTGCGACTGACGTGTTGGCTGTAGCCTAGGCTCTGTCGAGTAGACCTCCCTGCAAGAATCTAGGAAGGAAGAAGTGAGCAAGGTGAGGCAGCCTCCACACATACAGAGACCAGCTCTTATGGCAGGCACAGTGCTGGAGGCATACGGGAGGGCCTGGTGTCTGGTTCAGGGCATCCTTGCATCCATCATGGGTGCAGTGTTGGGGAGCAGAAGCAGTGAGATTTCTACTGGAAGAGTCTCTGTTTTGTTTTTCAATCTGGCTGTCAATGTTCCTGGCTGTAAAACACTGAACTCTTCCCTCTGACTTTACTAGATATTCTGTGAGCTACCTATTACCTAGGCTGAATCCCTTTGTGCTTAAACTGCCTGGAATATACTCTGTGATCTGAAACCAATAGCCCTGTCCAATACAATAGACAGTTCATACAGGTTGGATGGATGGCTGAATAGGCTATTGAAAATTGTGTGGCAGCTTACCCTCACACTAAATGGCCCCAAAGTGCAGTGATTTTAGTTTATATTTCTCTTTTCTATTTTTCTCTTACCGTTCATTTCTCACCTGTCATTCTTCTCTGCTTTCAGTATTCTGCCTCTGATAGTATCAACCACCCTTCTAATTTGCTGAGGCTGAACTGCTAAAGGCTAAAAGCTGTGCACGAATCTAAAACAAATTCTAGGGAAAGGAAGGATAACTAGGCCATGAGTCAAGGCCTTTCCTAGAGAATGAAGTGCGTGGATTTAAGCACATTTGTTCCTGACAGCTCTTTTAGCCATTCGAGTGCTTTTTCCTCTTTGTCACTATGTGCCTATGTTTCTAGATGTTCAGGTCCCCAAAACCCTGACCTCTCTTTAAATAGAGCACAACTGGATTCAGTATTGTGGAATACGAGAGGTTTTTTACCATGCCTGTCTGCTTTTCCTATTTAAGTGGCAGAGTTGCCCCCAAAAGAGAATTTTAAATGTTGAAAATAAATTCAACTTAATTTTTATTATATCAGTAATAAAGTTAACTCTATTATTCATAGGCAGGTAATCTGCACTGATCATTATCTATAGATACTCTTACTTCCTACCATTATTGATCTTTGAAAGGCTGATCAGCTTTCTGCCTTTCTTGGTCTCCTTGTAAGAGAAGTCAGTTACCCAGGCGACTTGTGGGGGTTCCTACAAAGGGGCATGTCAGAGAGGGCTAGTTGCTCTGATACCACTAGTGCAAAGGAACTGTGGGCCACTTACTGTCCCTCTGCCATGCCTAGCTCTCTCCACTTCTGTTTTTTCAATGTGACAACCACTAAATAGAAGAGATACACGGGAAAATCAGGTTGGTGATTAATTTCCTCAAATGCACATGTGGCATTGGAAGGATGGAGCCAGGAAGTGTCCATCACCAAGGACTTCTTAAGGCATATTTCTGTATCACCGAGGGTTACCACTCTGTAAGGCCAAATACCCAGGCATCTTTTAATGTTCACATTCTTGTATACACCCAAACCCATGGCTATCACTAAGGTCAGAGATACTAAATAAATATAACTAATATTTTAACTTCAGGAAGAATCTGAGGACATGTTAGGTAAGAGGTCAGGAAATCTCCATTCTGATAGTGTTTAGTAACAGGAGACTAATGAGAGTAGTTGCCATAATTAATACTGAAATAGTAATATTAAGAAACCTTGGGTAAATGGAAGCCGAATTTTGGTAGCTTTGAACTTGGAGGGAGGGCAAAATAGTCTTGTGCAGATATGTTGGGCTAGGGGGTCTTACCTGTCCTTAACCTTGCGGCCCTTGATTAAAGCCCCTGAGACCGCAGACAAACATCTAATGGAAGGTTACTTCTTGGAGAATGGCTTACTTTGCCATGTGCCATTTGGGCTCAAGGAAAAGACAGAATCTTGTAGTCTACTCTGGTGCTTGGTGTAGTGTCATGTATGCAGAGAACTCAGAGCAAAACTTGTGGATGGGATCCTGGCACCAGGAATGGTGGATTTTAGATGTGCTGGTTGGCAGTCTTTGAGGGCCGCTTTGTTCATTTGATGAAGTTTGCCACTGAGTACCTTGCAGTCAACGAAGCTGTCAGCCATATAAGCCCAGAACTGGCTTAAGCAAGGATTTAAAATGAATGCAAACAGTGTGTGTTAGCAATGTTCCTGCCCCAAGAAACTTAGGTGGCACTAGGTGGAAGATTGGTTGACTATACCATTGTTAGCCTCTGTTATGTGGATAACTGGAAATTAATGACATAATGTTGTATATGAAGCCATATTATCTATAACTATCCTATATTTTGCATTTTAAATGAGATCGAGACTAGGCTTATTCCATTGATCAGATATTGCTTTGTCCGTTAGATGCATGTGCACTTAGACAATTTGTACACTAGCCTTTTTCCTCAAAGAGGAGGTTTCTTGAGGCAGGACCTGTGTCTGGCACACCTTCGTGCATGCATAGTATTTCTTACTGTGTCTCACAAGGCAGCGGGAGACCGATAGTGATTTTGTGAATAAGTGAATGGCTCTTACTTAACGCCTGTGTGCTGTAACCACCTCTGACTTTTTCCACCCCCAGCTGTGCATGTCTGATAAACTGTGGGAGCAGATAGTTCAGTTGGCCTGTGACACCATCACTCCTGACATGAGGGCCCTGGCAGAGGACATGGGCTGGAGGCAGATGTTCTTCACCAACAAGCTCCAGCTCCAGCGGCAGCTGCGCAAGAGGAAACAAAAATACGGAAGCCAGAGAGAGAAGCAACTTTAGGACGTTTTCCTACTAGCAGGGGAGCTGACGCATGGCTGTGTTTCTCTTTCATGTCCGAGTCTCTTCTGTCTCCTTTTCTTAAGAACTAAGATGTTTTGCTGATTCAAGGAGCCATTTGAAAAGCATAGAGGATTTGCACACAAATGCAGCAGAACCTGGCTACCCAGTGCCTTGCTTGAATCACTATCTCTGTCGTTCTTAGGTCAAATTGTGGCCCAAATACAAGGGCTGCAAAACAGGAAGCCCTATCCTGAAACCCATAAGAAAAGTGGCTTCTGCTATATATAAACCAACAATAAATGATTATTAACAGGTTTTTTAAAAATCAGATATCCACTTTATCTAAGTATTCAAAAGGGTAACTGGGCTTTTGAATGCTTTCCTGGTGTTGTATCATCTGAGCCCATCCGTGGAGTAGGTAGCTGAGTGTCCCCACAGGGAACTATGAGGGGCAGGTGCCATGGAGGGCACGTGGGTGAGTGCAGCTGCCTTCCCCACTTTGTTCTGCCAAGTCTATATTCGGGGCCCTGTCCTTGTGGGCCTGGGACGCCAGGCTCCGTCCCCCCAGTAGACAACCTCTGACCTGGCACTAGGGCTTGGCTAGAGAAGTCCAGGCATTCTGCTTGCAGACTCTGTTCAAAGTACAACTTTCCAAGACATCACATTGTTAAATAAACCTATACACAGTTCTTAGAGGGATGCTGCTTTCCCCAAAGAATGTGGACAGCTACCACTTTTCACAAGGATTTTAAAGAACAATCTAAGTGAAAATATAAGTACAGTTTGCATTCTGTTAACATGATAGAGGGGTAAAAACAATGCAGTCTTAGGAGAGAAAGGTCTACCTTACAGAGAGGGGTTACTTAAAAATTATTTTCTCCTTGCTTTTTCACAATGATTCAATACCCCCAGATAATTAACTAACTCATAGTAGCAAATAATCTAATGACTCCTTTTAGGTCACAGAACAAAGTTGCTTTCTACCTCCACCTCACCTTATTAACCTTATAATGTCTTCTTCCCTGCAGCCTCTACTTTCCTACCCAGGGAAAATAATATACCTCCTGTGCCAGAGAAACATCCCAGGATGCACCACGCCCTCCCGAATGGTGCAGAAGTGGTAGACTCTGGCTCTTCTCCCCACCCAAGTCCTTCCAGAAGGGCTCAACAGTATGGCTTAGTGACATATTTTTGTAAAAAAACTAAACTTGTGTTAATATCAATCATATTTTAACCCTAATCCATACACCCTTAAAACCCAGTCACCTTGCTCCCCAGTGCCAATTTGACATTTCAACCTAGACCTGTCTGCTTCTCATTCTTAGAGGTCCACAGTCATGAGTTTCCAGGGACATCTGTGAAGTCAAGTGCCATCTGCTTCCTGGTCGATGAGGGGTCCATCGGAGTTGTGTCTGGATTTAGTCCAAGTACAAAACAAAGGTTTAATTGTCGAGAGCCCCAGGCCACATTGTCTATGTAGGTGCCCGGCAGGGAGCTCTGAGGGCGGGAGGTCACGTCTCTGCATGGCTCCTACTGCCTCGTCTCTCCCTGAGCTTCCAGACTTCACTCATGGCCCGGTCTTCAGTGACAGAACACAGGTTAATACTGTGAGTATGCACACATGACCACAACTTGGTATGTCAACATAACTTCGTAAATATATAACTTCAACTCATTTGTAACAAATCAACGCAAAATGTCAGCAGCTTAAAGTTTCATGTGTAGTGTTTTATCAACAAACTGAGATTCTGAAATCTTATGGACATGCATCATAGTCAAGATTCAACATGAATCAATAAGAACACAAATATGGCCATTTGAAAATACTTTATATATCTATATACATA